TCGAGTGAACAAAGTAGATATAGAAGACTAGGAAAAAACTGAAAGACTTAAATTATCAAATAAAACCAGTGAGTATTTGAGTATCACAGACTAGATATTATATGCTGTATTATCTAATCAGCCTTATCTTCAAAGAGCCTACATGAATATAGAAATATTAACTGATATAATGTCACTTACCAAAAGTTTTTTCTTAGAGTGGTGCCTGTATAGAGTTGTTTTTCAAATTCAGGTTTGTTTTCCTTATCATAGTCTGTGTGCTCATGGAAAGTTGCAGTGCATCAGCAACTGATTTCACAATCAAGATGTAGAACATTTCCATCATTCCTGAGTCTTCTCTGTCATCCCAGGCAGAATCAATGGCCCACGCCTTCAAACCAGATCATCCTGCTGGAACAGTGCAGGTGAAGAAGCTAATGTGTTCTGCAGCCAGCCCACAGGGATGGGAGAAAGAAAAAGTCCTGGATCAGAATAAGGAGCTTACAGATGCTGAATTTGTATTTTCAGTATTTTTCATTTTATACCCTACATGTTGCTGTCTCTGGGAAGCTGATCTGGTCATTCACTGTAGGAATATCCTTTCTCCTCAGTTATTTCCTGACGGAGCATCCTCGTGCATTCCCTTTAACACTGATCATTATGTGAGCCTACCCCTTATTTACTTTATTTATTTACTTTTTTATAATTTTTTAAAAAATTTTAAAGATAGTAAAACCCAACCAAACGAGATAGAACAAAGCCAATCAGAATAATGCAGCAAAATTGATATGGAACTTTAAAGAAGGATACCCAGGAAAATGATAATAGCTACCATGGCATATCTTGTTATCTTTACAATAGTTGTCCATTCCATCAGTTATAGCAAAATCAAACCAAAAACAAACTAAATAAAACAAATCAAAACAGAATATTGGATAAAGCAAAAATAATCACAACAAAGCAAAACAGTGAAAGCAATATTGGACTTCAAAGATAAGAGAGAAGGAAATCCCCCATATTTACTGTATAGCCTAGGGTCATCCTCCCAAGAAACACAAAACTGCATAATCAAACCAACAATACAACGATTTAGTTGCAATATGTACTTTAGTTGTTATCAACTCAGCCTGTCCTAGGAACCATCTGGTTGCTAAGGGTGGGGGGGAGCCAATATGGACAGTGTTTGATTCTCAGCCTGCGTGCTGGTAGGCTCATGGGAGGTGCTGACTTTTCTCTCCCTGGCACTTGCGTGGCTTGCACAGCTTACCAGAAAGGCTGGATAGTTGATTTCTTGGTTGGCCCTCCAAATCCCAGCATGGCTGATTCTTGGGAGACGCTAACTTTTCTCTCCCTAGAGCACATGTGACTTGCTATCCTGTTCATTTACTTCTTAAAAATTTTCTCCCAGAATTCAAGCTCCTAGAAAACAAGAATTTGTGTTATTTTTAGTAACATATGTGTCCAAATACATAGTTCAACCAGGCACAAATCAGGTGTCCTAAAAGCATAAATTCTATGGAACCAAATACAACTAAATTTAAGAAAATTAGGTGTAAATTTATATTCAACATAAATAAATGAGTTAATCTCTAAAAATAAAATCCTCCTCTGTTGTGAAGGTGAAATGTATTTATAATTCATGGAAATTACCACATAATGCTCAGCAGGTAGTAAGATCTAGAAATTGCTACAATTATGGGAGATAGGGATAAATCATTATGTTGTTGCAACACCATCAAACAGATCTGGCTCTCCCTTGGTTGCATTGATATAGGGGAATGAAACGCGCAACCTACTAGATGTCTGGTACAAGTTCATGTTCTCTAAAATTGAAGAGTGAATTTTAGAACAACAGAGGTTAAGAGCAGAACATATTTATTGAGAGAAAAAAAAAAACTTCTGTCTCAGAAAGATAGAATGGGTCCCAAGCAGAACTGCATATAGTATTTCTAACTCCTCATCACCTGAACTCAGTATCATACCAAATAGTGAGTTGCAAGTTATTTTCTTTTGTTCATTCATGTCATACTGTAATAGTCAAATACATCAACTATAATATTTCTATCTAACTCATTTGCCTGTAATAGCATCCCTTACCAAACTTTTTCTTTTCTTGTCTAAAAAAATTATTTTCTTTCACTCAAATTTCTTGAAACTCTTCTCTGACATTTTTCTAGTCACTGCTCAGGAATGTAGTGAATTTGAACCAAAACTATAGCTCTGATACCTTCCTTCTTTATTTTTTCATAATATTTTAGGTTCTGAAGCTTCAGAAAATATTGTAATCCCAAATATTGTATATTGTAACCTAAGTATTGTAATCCCCTTTCCAGTCTTCCTCACAATCCAGAAAGTTATATTTGTAATCCCATTGAGACATTATTGGAATCCCAGCAAGTTAATTCCAATCTGCCACCTCCAATGCAAGCCACACAGAGTAAAGACACCAAGACATATTCAAAGTTAAGGGCAGCCAAGGGGTCCTAAACCCAATCCCTGTGAGGATATGTGGGAACAAAGGCCCTGATCCAAGGCCTCTAGAGCCCAGAATTTATTATCTTGTGAAGAAGGGAGTGGCGGGAGGATGAGTGGCAGTGAGGATGGCTGTGGGAATTACGTGAGTACTTCAGCTGCCTAGCAGGTAGGAAGAAAAACATCTTTGCAAAATGCAGGGAGAATGACATGCAGGAGCAACCTACATAATTCAATTAAAGTAGCAACTGAATTGTTTTAGGAGGCTGTTGCTTCAGTTTCTGATATGGAAACTTTTGTGCCCTGGGGACTCATAACTTCTTTATCTCAAGGCTCATACCCAGTTGACATTCCTGAAGCTGACTGACTCTACCATCCCACTGTGCTCATATCTTTTCCAGAGAGCACTATTCCAGGAAACAGGAGACTGTCTGATGGCTTTAGAGATTACATATCAGTACCTCCCTAGCCTTATTTGCTATGCTTAAAGACAATTAAAGAAGGAAGGACATATCATAGTCAGATCTGTACATATCAGCATATGGAAATAAGTTTTGACATAATCAAGTCACAGCAATTGCTCTGGATTCAAAGGGAGTCACTCAAATGATCTGCAACAAAGGTTTTAGTTCTGCTTCATTTTCTAAGTTGAATGATGTGGTATAGTGTGACTGCATAACTTAATGGAAGAATGGAAACTTAGACTGATATAACTAAAGCAATGTATTCAAACTAAAATATAATTTATTGTATCATATCTTTTATTAGACAAACACAACAAAACTCATCACCTAACTCAGTATCTTACAAAATAGTGAGTTGAAAGTTATTTTCTTTTGTTCATTCATGTCATACTGTAATAGTCAAATACATTAGTTGAAAAAGTGTTACATTTTCCCATAATATTAAACAGTACAGTCATATCTAAAAGGATAGTTTTACACATCTACTATCTAAAAATTTAGAAGGCATTTCAAATGTTTTTACAGAGTATCTTTCTGAACTTTTGAAACTAATCAATCTAGATGCTAATGAGTCTTTCTTTCCTTAAGATGATTTTTATAGCAAGCAATTCCCAGTTTATTTTTCCTAAATATCATTTCAGTTTTTTAAAAAAATGAGGTGAATATACCTAACATAAAATTTACCCTTTTAGTCTTTTTTAAGTTTGAAATTCATGAGCGGTAAGTACATCATATTGGATAACCATCGCTACCATCTGGCACTAGAATTTTCTCATTTTTCTGAATTAAAAGTCTGTGTTCATTAAGCAATGTGCCTCCCTTCTCCCTTACTGCTACCCTCAGCAATCACCACTGTACTTTCTATCTCTATAAATTTGACCGTTCTAGCACATCACATAATTGGCATCTTATACAGTATTTTTCTTTTGCAAATGATCTCAGTTTATTTTAACATCTTCAGGGTTTTCACCATAGTATAGCCCATGTTAAAAGTTTCCCTTCTTTTTTAGTACTGAAAATATTCCATTGTATGTACATGCCATACATTTTAAAAGATATTTATCTGTTACAGATACGTGGGTTGCTTCCAACTTTTGAGTGTTGTAAATAATGCTGCTGTGAACATTGCTGTACAGATAATCTCTTTGAGTTCCTGCTTTCAATTCTTTTAGGTATAAACTCCAGGGTGCAGTTGTGGATCATAAGTTAATCCTGTTTGATTTTGTGAGAATTTTCATAGTGTTTTCCATGGCATCTATACCATTTTACATTCCAGCCAGCAATACACAAGGCTTTCAATTTCTCTACATTCTTGTCAACATATAGTATTTTCTATAGTATTTTTCATGAGCAGTCATCTTAATGCACCGAAGTAGTATCTCACTGTGGTTTTCAATTTTCCATAAGACTGATGATGCTGATAATTTCATATTATTTGTGTGTCTTCTTTGAGGAAGTTATCCAGTTTTTTGCTTGTTGAAAACATCTGACTCTTTGATTATATGGTTTTTGAGTTGTGGGAGTTCTTTTATATTCTGAATATTAACTTCTTATCACATACAACTTGCAACTATTTTCTTTAGTTAAATAATTACCTTTTAACATTACAGATATTTTTTGATGAGCAGTTTTTAATTTTGATGTAGACCATTCACCTTTTGGTTGCTTCTGCTTTTTCTTTTGATCCTTTGCTTTTGATATCAGATCCAGGAAATGACTGATGAATCCAAGACTATGAAGGCTTCTCTCTATGTTTTTTTCATCCAGAGAATTTTATAGGTTTAACATTTAGGTTTAGGTCTTTGAATCATTTAGCAGTAGCTTTTATGTGTAATACAAGGTGAAGGTCCAACTTCTTTTGCATGTGGATATTTAGTTTTTCTAGCATTTGTTGCAAGGTGAGGGCTTCCTAAGCAAGGATTGTTTTAGAAGATGTTTCCAGTGCTGCTTGTTACTGTTTCAAAGGTCAAACAAATAATGATTAAGTCCTACATCACTTGAGGTAGATTTTGACCTCTCCCAAGTTGAAGAGTACTGAAGATCTAGGATCATTTACATTCCTCAGAAAGAATGAAATAACACAGCCTTCTCATGCAAAGAAGAAAAGACTGAGATAGTCCTCCGGTCAAAGTACACATTCTTGCTTTACTTTTCTCCAACTCCCGAAATCAGTCAGTTAGTTGCAGTGGTCTCTCTCCTACTTGACCACGTAGGAGACCGGTGAGGAATATGTCCTCACCTTTTCTTTGGATTTTGGCTATTTTGCTGATATTTGAAGAATTTGATGGTGGAGCTGGAGAATTTGAGCTGCAGCGAAACAAAAGAAATACTGATCTCCAACAGTAAGTAGATGCAAGGATAATTTTTTTTTCTGATGCAGTAGGATAAATCTTCATAAATTTTCACAAATAGAAAAATCTGTATAAGATGCCAATTATGTGAGGTATAATTTTTTTCTTGATAAAGTGGTGACATCAAAAAGCCAAAGGGGAAAAATGCTTTGACTGATAGATGGAATTATTTTCTTATACAAAAATTACTAATTTATCCATTGCAAAGTAGTCAAGTATATAATTACTAGGAGATATCTCCAGGAAATTACAAAGGGATGGTAGAAGAGTAGAAAAAAATTGGTCAATTACAAAGAAAAGGTATATACAGTCTAGAGTTATTTCAGTGAGAAAGTTTGTTTAGATTTAAAAATGTTTATGTACTAATTATTGCTGTATTTTCTCTGGTTGAATTATCTAGGCCTCGTTTGACTTCAGAAGGGGGAAATTTAGTGTTTTTTACTGGACCTACCCAAAATATTGAATTTAGAACTGGATCTCAAGGGAAAATAAGAGTAAATGATGAAGACCTCAGTGAATGTTTGCATCAGGTATTGCATGAGAAAGATCCTGAAGTCATTTTGTATGTCTATAAATTGTGACTTAATTGAGCACCTCAATATCAATCTGTACTTGAGTGTTCAGCACAAAATGCATAATTGGAAGTAAGATACTTTTTATGAAGAAAAATGATTTAGGAGGAGTAACGTGGATGGAAGCAATAATGCTGACAGAATAGGTTCATAGTGCTCATATTGTACTAGAGTAGAGAGAAGATATAGAGGACTAATGAACTTGTCATGAGGACGGAGAAAAAGGAGGGGCCAAGAGAGAGGTGTGGCAAGCTTACTTAACTGACCAATCATTCTCAGGCCTTATTAAATATTTTTCATGCTCAATGTATGTTACATCATCTTTGTACATGAGTCCTGTACAATACATTAGCTTACTATGGGTCACTGTGCATAGCACTTGATGTGTATTCTCATTTGATCAGAGCTACCTATGAGATGAGCTTTATTACTTCATTTGAAAAGAAGATAAAGCTATCTTAACATAGTTAACTTCCTCGCCCAAAGGCACACTTTAAATGGTACACTCAAAATTTAAGATTTAATTGTCTGATTCAAAGCCAGGATTTTATGAAGGAGGGAATGTGTGTTGTGGCTTGAACCCAGGTCTTGGATAAGACTAGGGCTTGTCACCAAGTTGTATCCCTGGACCAGAATGCTTCTTAGTAGGTGCTCTAAACATTTATTACTAGAAAAAATGCAAATAGAAAATATATTGACATATGAAGTGTGATGTAAGATACAGCTAATGTTTAAAAGTTTAAAAATTTATTATAGTAAAAGACACATTGACATTACTACCCCCTCAAAGCATGCCCCTTCATTCTGACCCCAGTTACCCACCATTTTTACCACTTTCTGAAGTGGTTCTGGAAGTCTTCTTTTGTGAGTGTCTTTAATTGCACTGTCCTGGCTGCTTCAAATTCCTGCATTGATTCAAACCATTACCTTTCATGGTCATTTTGACTTTTTGGAAGAATCACAAGTTTCACAGTGCCAGATCCATTGTCATATTTTCACAGATATGCCTTTCCTTTGCATGGCACTGGCAAACAGTCAAGGAACTCACAGGAGAGGGTTTCCAGAATCCCTTCTGAAAATGGCAAAAGCACTGAGATGAATGTTTCCCAAGGAAAGAGCGCTTGATGGTGATGTGTCGTTCTCTATAATACGTTTTTAAAGTATTTTTAAACATCACTATATGTTTTTATCACAACTTGTACTGTTATAGGAAAGGGTAACTGAAATTATGGTATGGGTACATGGCACTGGCTTTGAATTATTTATTTATTGTCCTTTTGAGACAGGATCTTGCTATACAGTTCAGGCTGGCCTTGAGCTCACTTTGTAGCTCAGGCTAGTCTTGAACTCTCAACAATCCTCCTGCCTCAGCCTCAATCCTAAGTGCTGAGATTATAAGCATGTGCCACTATACCTGGTTTTGGCTTTGAATATTTTAATAGGCAAATATCAGTCCTTAAAATAGAATTCTACTTGGGTTTTAATATAATCTTGTAAGATGAGAATGATTTTTTCACTAGAGTTCTTCTCTTCCTTTTTCTTTTAAAAATTAGATCCAGAAAAACAAAGATGAGATTATAGATTTAAAAAAAAATTCAGTTGGTCTGCATCAAAATATATCTAGTCAAATCTATCAACTCAATTCCAAGGTAAGTTTGATATCTACATCATAAGAACAAATGAGTTCTCTTTAATTCAATATTGTACATAGTGTATGTTGTAGGAGATACTCATTTTGTATACTTTTAAGATAATTATTATTCTAATCATGGACTTAAAAGGCATAGCTCTAATGGAAGATATAAAAGGTAGAAAATTCTATGGTAGTTGTTGTCTAAGTAGACTCTACTCAGGTTCTTATAGCAACCCTACTGTTGAATGGGATTCTTCATTGTTATTTAGGAAGATTCCCATAGTTCTTGTGTGCAAAGAAAAAATGAATCAGCTTATCAGTGGGTTGAACCATCTTTAAAAGACCTTCAGAAAGAAATATATTCAGTGGAAGGAAACAGAGAGGAAAGGAAATGTGGCAAGAGGAGAATAAACAGGGACAGACAATGCAAACAGGAACTAAAAGGGGGTCCCTAGCAGAAAACATTGGACAATATGCCCTGGGTGTAGCATCATGTATGATATGCCTTTGAACCAGCTGACTGATGCTTTTTCTTTCTCATTGTTAGCTTGTGGATCTTGAGGGAAGATTTCAAAGCTTACAGCAGGTAAGTTTTATGATGAACAGATATTCACTAAAAAATATATGAATAGTTTAGGTAGAGTCAGCATTGTAAAAGCAGATAGATATTTTTCCATTTATTTCCATGAATCCTGTGTAACATTTAACCTCAGAAGTCTAAAATATATCATGTCATTTCAGTGAAGTTGACAAGATTAACCAACAGAAATCCATTTCACCACGTTGATAACTGTCCTCCTCTCAGTCTTCATCTTTTCAGGAACTACTTGAGTAAGCAAAAATAAACAAGGCGCAGCACAGTAGAACAGGACATAGGCTACAGTTTTCCATTTCCTGAAGGCTTCATTGTTTTTAGCAAAGAGCCAGAGGATATATAAAAACGTCCTGCTCCTCCATCTCTCAGGAAGAGTTCTTAATGATTTTCTAATGTGAATGGATAGGTCAAGGGCTCCCTGGCCACCGGAGTTTATGCTACTCCTATTGTATTTCTCTACTGTTTTCATTGCCTGAGGGGCCCCAGAGGATGTGGAATTTTTAACCTCCAGATAGTGTTTTACTAACAGGAAAAACCTCTAATAAGTTTATGGCGCATCTTCTTCAGTGTCCTTTGAAGGACACAGCTCACTGTGGTACTGGAACAAAGTTAGACAAATTGAATACTGGAAGGAGTCAATCCATAAAAAGATCTCCATATGTGTAGTTTCCTGGCATAAGTGTAAGCAAGAATGAGCTTTGCAATAGATAATAAGAGGCCCTGCTAGCTATTCTCTGGCTCTCAGTTCATCTGGAAAATGAAGAAAATGGACTTGCTTTTTCTCTGTAATGAATATTTTGCTTCTAGTTAAACAGAGAATTCTACTATAGATAAAATTAGTACAGTAACTTCACTGCCTGATTACTCTTTTGTCTCTAAAGAAGTTGCCTCTGCCCCCAAAGGCTTAAAAGTCTTTTGAGAGCAGAACTGATAGCTGACATAGGGTAAGATTGCTCAGGTTGCGTAGACAAAGGTAGGTCTGTTTGCTGCCCTGTGGGTCCAAAAGTGGCCAGATGAGTGCAAGGGTGGAGGGTGTATCTTAGCTGGTCAAACAATGAGGCTTGGAGTGAATGTGTTCAGTCATCTTAACCCTTGCGAGGAGGAGTGGCAGAAAAAGATGATCAGATTTCAAAGGCTTATCTGGAGGTGCCAAAGATAAGAGTGAAAGGCAAAGGAACAGGAAATTTCCATTTATTTTTCTTAGTGCATAGGAATGTCTATTATTATTTCATCCACCACACTTGTCCACTGATGCATATTTTGCAGATAAATAATACTTTTCCAAAGAAGGAGAATTACTTCCCTTCTATCCCATTCCATTCATGATAAAAAGCATACAAAGTGTTCAGGGATTTGACTGACTAATAAGTAAAACTTTTTACTGTTTCACAAGAGAATTGATTGGATGAATGACTAATAATTGATAGCAAGTCTAAAGGAAGACCTCCTCTGATATCAAGTAAAGTGCAGTTCTCACCAGTACACGCAGCTGTACCAACATCTGCCCTGCTTTGCTGCTCGTGGCAAGTACTGCTGTCTTACTGGCTGATCGGTCTTTGTTTCAGAAAGTTGCCAAAGATGTCTGCAGCAGCAATCCCTGCCAAAATGGTGGAACCTGCCTCAATCTGGTTGATTCTTTTTTTTGTATCTGTCCTTCACACTGGGAGGTGAGTCTTTTGGTCTTTGATTAAAACTAATGGTGAGTCGGAGTGAGAGGTTTCCTTAGAATCATCCCAGACTTACTCAATCCTCCATCCCAAGTTACTAACATTTTGTTGCCTCTGGAATCAGAACCATTACACTATGTGTACCAAAATCTAAATGATGGCAAGTTTGATGATATAACCCACTGAATACTAAGCCATTGTAAGTAGGAGTTCATTTGATCAGATAATTACATAAAAGAGCATGATATTTCTTTTTTTAAATTTTTTTTTTTATCTGTACGGGGGATCTAACTCATGACCACCTGCTTGCAAGGCAGGTGCTTTTGTTTCTGAGCTAAATCCCCAGCCCCAGGGCATGATATTTCTGTTAACATTAATTTAAAATGTCTCCAACATGTACATTAGCATGACAACAACAAAATAATTGTTAAGTAAGAATTCCATAATATTGTACCACTGTGAAATGAAGATTCGTTTGTGTTAGGAATCTTCTCCTTGAGCAGCCGTGAGTTTATGAAGAACTTCTTGGTTCTATTAGATTGAATCTGAGTTTCAGAGAAAGGATAGCCAGAGATTGTATCTGTATACTTGTGTTTGACTTTGTGAAAGGTTTATTTGTGTACGAGTCCTTACACATATCCTACTAACAACAGCTATCTCATTCCTCCATGACTTGTGACACTTGACTGTTCTTTGTATGACTCCAGGGTCCTCTGTGCTCAGCTGATGTTAACGAATGTGCGATTTACTCAGGAACACCGTTGGGCTGCCAGAATGGAGCCACATGTGTGAATACAATGGGAAGTTACAGGTAAATAAAAAAAATATCGGGTACATTTTTGAAGGACTAAAAGCTACCAAAATTAACATTCCATATTACCGGGGAAACTAGGTACTCCATGAGGATATACATGACTCTTATTGAACATATACATAGCTATTTTTACTTTGGTGAGCCATAGCTTGTGAGTTCTCCCTCATCTGTTAGTTATCCCATGAAGAAATCCTTTCTCCAGCCTCCCTGAGGATTGGAAGAAGGCTACTGTGACTGGCAGACTAAAGCTAGAGTAGGGAACGAGTAGCTGAAATATTAGTCGGCTCATGGAAGAGACAGCTGTGTGATGCACTTAAATGGAGAGGGGACACCCCACTGTCCCAGCCCACCACTTCTGCACTCATCCCATTCATCAGTGAACTCACAGTTTCAGTGAGCAGAGCTTCAACTTCTTCACTATGTAAGAATGTTGACCAAAACAGACCTAAGGTTGAGGCTCAGTGACTGAGTTTCTCTCACTGTGTTTCTTCAATTAGTCATGAAGTCCCCAAACACAGTCCACACAGTACTCTGTCTTTTCTCCTGATTTATTTTGTCAAATGGCTGTAGCAGTCTCCTTCTAACTGAGGCATCTCCTTCTACCAGGAAACCTTTCCTTTTTCCATACTTGTGAGTGAGACATCACAAGGCCCCATGTTTCCACTGTATTCTAGGAATACGGGCCAGCAGATCTATACTGGTTCACACTATTTTTTTTTCTTAGTACTGAAGATTGAACCCAGGGCCTTCACATTAAGCTACATCCTAGTCCTTTATTGTATTTTATTTTCACATATGATCTTGCTAAATCAGTAAATTGCCCAAGCAGGAATCAAACTCGTGATCCTCCTGCGTTAGCCTTCTGGAGTGCTGAGATTACAGGGATGCACCACCATGCCAGGTCACAATTACCTTTAAATACTCAATTCCAGAAATTTATGGGAGGTCATCTTCAAATTTACTTGACTAGAGTTCCTTAACTTTATGTTTAAAACAATCTTGACATTATTTTCCTCATATTTTTGACATTATTTAAGGATTAAGAAAGAGCAATTATTTGCTCTTTTCCTAGTGTCTTTACTATCTTATTCATTTTCCTCATAACACTATCCATGTTGTTCTTTCTAGCAAAGACGAGTGTAGTAATTTTATTTTATCCTTGTCATCTGTTAACTTGGGTTTTTTTTTCCCAAAAAGTAGCACAGTTCTTCCCTTTCCATGTAAGTTATTCTTTTCATTTGTTCTTTTGATCTGCTCTCTAACTTGTTCATTCAGACCAGGTTATAAACTTAACTCATTTAAACTTCTAGTAGCTATGCTTATGGGTTCAATCATTATATAAAACAAAAGTTTACCACCTCTAGCTTGAATTTAATATTATGTTCCTAAAGAAACTAGCATAGTTCAAGATAAGCTGAGGAATAATAAGCCTGAGAGCTTGGAAGGCACAACCACTGAAGTGTTTCAAAGACTTTTAACAATTTTTCATTTAAATTAGCCTCTGGTCCTTGCTTTTTAAATACTCAGTCTTGGGCTAATCTTTCATTCCCTTGAAAGCAATATCCTTGATTTCTGTTTCTGAGTACTTATCAAGGAGAAATTTCCCTTGGAGATATCAGTAGCAAATGTCCAGATTCCTAGCAGTTGTACTTCTGGCCTTCTCAGGATCTGGAATGTCCTGGGGATTAGTCATTCCTGAACTTTCCTTATCGTCACTTTAGTTTTGATGTCTTACATGATAAAGATAGACATGGGGATGAGATCCATTGGCCACGCCAGTGGTTATTGTTGTTTCAGCAGGTTATTTTTTCCTCCTCAAAATGGAAAAGACAATCAAAGTTTAAAAACTTTAACCTCACGACTATTTTCTGCAGGCTACGGATTAGAGCTGATTGCTCAGATGCACGCGTGAGAGGGGGAGGGAGACAGAAAGAGAGAAAGCCATGTTATTTGTTCAGAGTTGCATTTCTAAATGGCAGCTTCAACTTTGTAAGAACAGAACTGAATCTCTCTTGTATCATCTTGTAATTAACAACAACAATAACTAGTACAAAATTTCTTGTACTGACTCTGGAAATAATTTTCATTTCTAGTCTCTGTCTTTCCTAGATTTGCTGGAGAAACTAGAGAGCACAACATTTTTCCTTTGATGTGGGAACAGTTTGTAATTCCTGTTAATTACCTGCATCATAAATAATCTAATGGGGCATATGATAGTGACTCTTTAAAGGAATAAAATAAAACAAAAAAAGTATGCTGATCATAATTTGCAATGTCTGTTTGTAAAGAAACACTGAACATTTAAATAATTTCTCTATCAATTATATGAGGTTAAATCCTTGTTAATCAGTAGTTTGACTGAGGCTAGTCACCCTCTGGAAAACTCCAACACATATTTAGTAAACGGAAACTTGAGCAAAGATCAAATTGCAAAACAATAGTCGTGGTAGGCAAAGTTTGCTTTGGATTTGAGGCTTCCTTCCATTATTTATTTATTTATGTATTATTTTAACTCTGACCCTACTTACCTGAGGAGAAAAATGAAGATCAATAATTTATAATTGTAAGAGTCTTTGTAAGGCTAAAGCATTATGTAAATAGAAAAATTTTTGTTTCATAGACAAATTTTTGGTAAAAATTGTTTTTTTTTTTTTTTTTTTTTTGAGTAAGAACAATAGAGCAGGAGAAAACACTGTTTTGACCAAAACCAAACCAAACCAAACAAAAAACTTTTTTGGCTTGAAGTCTTGCCCCAACTTCTTCAGACAGTTAATAAAATGATATTTTGCAATTTTTAACATTGTTATTGCCTCTTTATTTTAAAGAATTGATTCTTATTGTTTTCCTGACTACATAGTACCTAAGACAGATCTTGGGATCTGAACTTGTTATACATGGATATCATAACTATATACATGGAGGTCTAGTCAGAGCTAGAAGGCTTTCTAGTGGAAAAATGGTTGTATGTGCTTGTGTGTCCTCCATGAATATGATGATGATTAGTATATTTTGTTTTATTTGTCTATATTCATACTATTAGTAGATTTTAAAACATTCAGAACTTAAATGATGAGAATAATCTGATTTTAGTGCAGGTGGTAGTTAGGTATTAAACTTATCTTTTTCAGTTAGTCAGCAGAGTGATAATGAACCATGGACTCTAATGCAAGTTAAACTATGACTATGGAAGTATGTCTGATTTCTTCTCTGTTGCGAAAGGCATTTGTAATGCTTTTAAAAATCTGAAAATCCTAGATTTATTCTTCTGGCACCAAATCAGTAATAAAATGTCATTACAATAATGAATTCAGTAACTAACAGTGAAGGCACAAACAGTAGTAAAGTAGTTCGAAAACACATACATGGTTTTTATATTCACTGAGCAGGGATATAATTTTTTACTCTGTTTTTTCAAATGCCAACCAATTTATCTTCAGAATATATTTGTGTGCAAACACTGTTATGTTAAAAAGACACACAGAAATGCAGTTTTAATACTAATTTTATCTTTCAGAACATAGAACCCTAACATGGAAAAATAACGGCAGTGAATAACAGACTTAGATTTCTTTCATCTTCTATCAATCATTAATTCTATGGCTGTGGGCTGTATGCGTGTGTGTGTGTGTGTGTGTGTGTGTGTGTGTGTGTGTGTGTAAAATGAAATTTTAAGAACTTATTTTTAATGATCATAGCAAAGTAACTACAGTTTATTTGACTTCCTTTCTTCTCATATTTTCTAAATTTAAATAAAAGAAGTCTACCTTATAGCTGGTTAAAGAAATATATAGGATTAATATCTTCTCATTTCCAAGTGCTAATAGCAAGGAAGAAGGAAGAGAGAGATGAAGAGAGAGGATTTAAATATAGCCCATGAACCAGAATCTCTTCTGAAATCTTAAGTCATTTTCTAAGTTAAGTGTTTAGTGATGAGAACAATTTTCTCAGCACTTTGCACAGTGGAAGGCCTTTAGAACACAAAGTTAACATAGTCTCATGAATTAGTAAACTGTCTGAGATAAACAGCTAATAGGTCTGATCAGTATGTAAATCTGGGTCTTCCAGTCCCAGGAGTTCCCAAAAACTTAGATCTCATACTAGAAAATAAAAAGCTACTCAGAATTGGTTTTAAGACTTAAAAAATGTTTTTGGAAAGTGTGTGGGGTAGAAATAAATTTTGGCAATTAAACCAGCTGGATCAAATGTTGAAAGATATGTGTGAAATAGTGTAAAGTTCTATAATGTCAAAGAGTCTATTTAAATTTTTTGTAAGACTATTTTAGATGAGAACGAGACAGAGAAGAGGAAAGAAACTAGATCATGATCGGAAAAGTTTAGAAAAACAGAGTTGAGGGGAAATAAATAGCTTGAATAACTGAATTTCTCTTTAATAAAGTTTGTCACTTATTGTTACTTATGACCTTATTTTAATGACAAAAACAATCTTTGAATGCTCAGAAATGTAATTTATCAGCAAAATAAGTTTTATGTAAATATAGTGATTGTAAATCATACTTGTGCCAAAATATTCATTTATCTGAAATTCAGTTTTAACTGGGCATCCTGTATTTTTATTTGCTAAGTCTCATGCATGCTTTGGCAGCACATATGCTTGATAAATCTGTCAACCCTCCATGTGAGTTCATGGATGCTGTTTACCATGCTCTTTCTCTCCATCTCTGTCCATAGTTTTTGATCTCTTCTTTCCTAGAAACTACTTAAAGATGTCACCCCAGCGATTGCTGCTTGGAATCCCCATGACACAGCACGTTGTATGCTCACTGTGTTGTTCTTGATCTTCCCAAAGAGCCAAACTGACTTCCTATATTGTCATTCACATGCTGCCATCGTAGACGTTAGCTGAGCTCTTTGTACCTTGATGTATGCTGTTGAATGGCTCCTTTTGCCGAACATCACAAACTAGTTTGTGGTCCAAGGAACAAATGTGCTTCTTCTTCCTTGTTTGTCACCTCTGGTACTGATGGCCAGCTCCCTCAGTGAAGTCTTTCTCTGCCAGTGCTGCTCCTATCTGACAAATGGTGACACCTGTGCTTGGCTCCTCTCGTTCAGATATGCTCAGGCTTGTATGGATAAGTTTAGGCTTTTTAGCTTCCTTTATTCCTTCCTCTTCCCCCAAAGCCCATTTTCTTACCTTAGAAATTCTCCATTAGGCTGCCGTGCAGATATAAAACTAGCCTGGTAACTTTAAGAATTAAATGGGTTTAAGCAGCTTTCCTTATTTGATAATTGTTGGTCTGAAATCTTCTAGTAACAAAACACCTACTGGTATTTTAGTTATCATATAATATTTATATTTTTATAAGTTAAAACGTGACTACAGAAGCAATGTCACTATGTTAATGACATAGTGGATAGAAGATGTTTTGCCCTTTGTAATGTAGTAACAGTTATCACGTACTTTGAGATGTGACCATTGCAGGGCATATGGGGTTATACCATCATAGACAGCACCAGGAAGTGATTAGTTCAGTTAAGATTCACTTGTGCTTCTTGGCAGATTGAGTGGAACAGATGAGGAATGAACTTGCTGATCTCTCTCTTTCCTCTTTTGAACAAACTCTGACACCAAGGTTTATAGAATGCTGCCCTTTGAATATGATGTCTGATGACTTCATACCAGAAGAATTTATAGTGTAGCTTCAGGAGATACTAAGTCATGGTTCTCTAACACTTTCTTTACAAAGATAGCACATTCATTCAGTCTTTGTTAGGAGTAGAACAGAGTGATTTTTCTCCTAAGGTTCTAGCCAGCAAACCTGTGTTGCTGGTTTATGATTCCATGTTAATATTATCAATTTGGATTTTTTTTATTAATGCTAAGAGACAGGGACTGGTCTTCTGATGCTGTGCTCTTATGTAACCAACAGATGTACCTGCACACCTGATACATACGGACCCCAGTGTGAGTTCAGATATAATGACTGTGAGGGTGGCTCTAAAGAACTCTGTGTCCATGGTGTCTGTGAGGATTTAGAACGACAGCAAGCTAGAGTGGTGAGTCTCCTTCCCGAAGTGACTCCTGTGGGAGCCTTGGTGGTTGGTTGTCCCTTCTGTACTGACTGTGCACAAGCACTGCCCCGTGGAGCTGCACGTGAGGGCACTTCCTGCCCTTTGCAGGGAACAGGCAAAGAGGGAAGATGAGATGCAGAAGAGTGAACCCAGAGGTTAAGTTACACAAAATAGTAGCATTTTTATTATTCCTGCCTGAATCTCTCTTTGAGACATGACCTTCTCTTGGCCTTGCAAGTTTCAACAGTGACAAGTCATGAAAACGCAGAGACTTAGTCTTGTTGGCAACCTGCAATTTTGAGTCTGGAGTTTCCTGGCCCTGAGCCCCTGTGAGTGCTGCAGACTCCATGGTGACTGTGGACTCTTTGTTGCCCCTCTGCACTCTGGATCCTCAGGATTTTGCCTCTCGACCCTCCAGGTCACCCAGTCCTGGCCAGTTCGGCTCTTCATCAAAACTTCAGTTCTTTATTTTTAGTTCTCTCACTATTTTTTTCTACTGGTAAGATGGAAAATGGTTCATTCCAATGGTGGAGTGGGAGGTAGAATAGGGAGCCAGTAAATGGGGAAAGAGAGACTTTTAGAAAGAAATCAACAGTTGATTTTCCAAAGTCTGTGCCTTCATGGGTGTTTTTTCCTCTAAAAACATAGCAGGCTGAGTTGATTCATTTTAATTATATTGACTTAAAACTCTTGATTGTTGCTGCTTTTTCCCTGTCATCTTGGGATAAATTATAGGAGTCTCTTACTCTGAAAAAAAGATGTTTACCTTTTTTCATGTTGTAGTCTGAATGCTTAAATCAGATGGGAAGAAAGACAGAGTCTTTCAATTGGCCTAATGGAAACGAATGTTAGATAATAAATAGTTCGGGGCTCGCTGAGGCTTTCAAAGGTTTGCTTGCTTCTTCACTTGATTGTCTTCATTTACGTTCTTATTACCCCACCAGCGTAATTACACATGCATCTGCGAAGCTGGCTGGACATCCTCCCCACACAGCCCTGCCTGCACGGTGGATCAAGATGAGTGCAGCCTCTCATCTTCTTGTTCGGCACTTGTGCAGTGTTTCAACACTCCAGGCTCTTTCTACTGTGGGCCCTGTCCAAAAGGTACATTCACAGGGCTGTGTGCCAGGCAGGCAAGGTGCTAGAACCAATTTCCTTCTACTACTGAGATAGGTGGGATAAGAAGACCACATAGGAGGTGTCTGAATCCAGCTGCATGTTCTGTTTCACAAACATGTGGCCAAGATCATCTTACTGCTTAACACTTTCACAGAATTGGAATACTTGTCTAAAACTATGCTAGTGTCAAAGTGTGGAGCAGGATTATCCATACAGTTTGGAAGGTCTAACCATGTATTGCTACGGCCATCAGCTGACTACACTTGTAGTCAAAAAATGTGCTTTCTAGTATTACCTTTCATGTTAACCAGAGGCATGCAAATTTGTGTAAATCTTTGACCTGTTTGTGTTTCCAATACAGTTCAGTAGTTCTCACCTATGCATGTCCCTTGAGACCCCTGTAGCCTTGCTGTGAATTGGGATATCCAAGTCAATTACTGTCCCACCAATGCCATTTTCCTTAGCTCATACAAATGTATAGAAACATATGCAGGTTTTTAAATAATTCTTTCCTCAAGTTGGGAGTATGACCCTAACTGTGCATTTTATTCTGAAAATTTGTTACTTTTTTTGTTCAGTGTGTTTGTGCCCTTGTAGGACATGTAGATGTAGGAATTATTAAAACTCTTTTTAGTATTCAGTGTTACAAATGAATATAAGGCAGTAACCTATGTCTCTATTGGCCGTTGAATTTTTTTCCTATTAAACAATAGTATAACAAGCATCTTATTTTTTATATTTTTATTTTGAAAACAAAGCAAAAAAGTTGAAATGATACAGGATTTTGTCTCTCTCTCTCTTTTTTTTTTTTTTTTTTTTTGGTTTTTTTCCTTTTTATTGGTACCGGGGATCGAACTCATGACTGCCTGCTTGCAAGGCAGGCGCTTATGCCACTGAGCTAAATCCCCAGCCCCTGATACAGGATTTTTTAAGAATAGTAGGAAATTAACACTAGTTAATATATTGCATATTGTTATCTTTGAAGTAGTTGTTCAGGATACAAAATTTAGGCATAAAAAATGTTAAAACAATCAAACAATGAAAGTACAAACTGTTCCTTTTGATGAACTTACAGAGGTTAGTAGTACAGATATCTATCTTATATATACATGCATATTTTTATACCCATATACATATAATCTTTTTTCTTCTTTCTTTTCTCCTTTTCACTATCCCAGTTGTTCTTCCCTTGTGAGAACTTCCTTTCTCCTTTGTTTTCATAATACCTACTGTACATTTTGGATCTTATTACTCTTTTAGGTTTTTTTACACAAGTGTTTACACTTGTGAGTTTGATTTATTCCACTTACTAGTATGGTTTCAAGTTGCACCCATTTTCCTAAAAATGTGTCAAGCTTATATTTATTTATAGCTGAGTAACACTCCATTGTACAAAAATACCACATGTTTTTTATTCATTCTGTGGTTGATGGGCATTTGGATTGTTTCCAAGATTTAGCTATTACAAACTGTGTTGCTAAGGGTGCACATATATCACTGTGACATGATGTTTTAATTTTCTGGGAAAATGTCCAGAAGGGTAATAGCTGGATTGAATCCCAGTTTTTTGAGGAATCTCCACACTTACATCCACAGTGGTTGTACCAGTTTGCACTTGCACCAACAGTGGAAAAGAGTTCCTTTTTCCCTACAGCCCTGCCAACATTTTTTATTGGTTGATTTCTTGATGGCAGCCATTCTTTCTGGAGTGAGAGGAATCTTGATGTTTAATTTGCATTTCTCAAATGACCAGTGATGTTAAACATTTCTTCATGTATTTGCCATTTGAGATGTATGTGTTCATCTCAGATGCCCATTATTAGATTGGGTCTTTGAATTTGGGTAGCATGATTTTTTTTCAATTCTTTCTCATCTTCATTTTAATATGCTTGTAGTTTTATCACCATAGAGTGAGTTTCAAACATAGAATTAACCATCAACAAGTATGTATTTTAAAAAATGTAAATAACTGGATATTTTTCCAAATTGTTTATATTAATACAATATCCAACTAACTATACAAAAGTATCCTATTTGCCTACTACTTTACTAGAATTTGTTTCCAAGAATTTAAAGTGATTTTTGACAGTATGTCAGTATATTTCATTTTAATCTATAGTTTTTTTTAATAGAGCGGATATTTTGCAAGTTTCAACTATTAGTATTTCTTTCTTTATTGACTTGCTTATAGAGCTAATCTTTCAAATCTTCCTGTTTTTCTAGGGTGGCGAGGAAATGGATATGTTTGTGAAGACATCGATGAATGCGAGATGAATAATGGTGGCTGTTCTGTGACTCCGCTTGTTACATGTGTGAACACACCTGGATCTTTTATCTGTGAGGACTGTCCACCAGGTATTTTTCTAGATTTCCTGATCTCATTACTGGCAAAAATATGCCTAGGAAAACTATCTTGTATTCCATTTTAAATATGATTTCTAGCTACGGAAAGAAACTGACTAGTATAGAGTGTTTCACTTAACTTGAACATTCAAGACACATTAATACAACTATAGTATGAGAAAGAAATTAAGAACACTTTTAATATTAGTAGAAAACAAGCCATTGCAAACTGCAAAAACTGCCACTGAGATAATGTAGGATTGAGAAAGTTTTCTGGGCTCATATCAGGTTTACTGTGCCATTGTTCACATATATAATCTATTAATGTGGTATACTTATGTTTTACATTAAGTTTTACTAAAAACAGGCCTATAACACACGTTAGTCCCCTTTTTCTTTTGGAAAGAAGTCACCAATACTATTTTCTAATGTAAATAGAATTAATAGCCAAGAAATTCCTAGCATTCTAAGAGATAACAGAAATCTTGTAAGTTTTAATGGTGTAAAGCAATATTTTGGACTTCTATAAAAAATTTACCCCTAAGAATATTAGAATCATGGAAATTGGTCTGGAGATATAACTCAGTGGCACAGTGTCTGCCTGGCAAGTATGAGGCCTTGAGTTTAGTCCCTTGTAGTACTCCGTTCTCCAATAAAAAACAAAATTATGGAAATTAAGAGATGTCAACTTTTATGTCAACCCTTTCTATCAATGCTTTTACATACATTTTCTTATTAGGAGCATACCAGAACATTATGTATGAAGTTAGGCTGCCACATCTTCTTCTCAAGTACAGATTTTGTTTGTTTGTGACAGGATATTTTCTTGTACCTTTTGTTTTGTTAAAGAACATTTACCTTGTGATATCTGATTCTCAGATTGATATTACCTTCCTCCCATATTCTTGACGTTATTTTTCGCTCCCTTGCTTTCTCTGACCAGGGTACCAGGGGGACGGAAAAGTGTGCACTGTCGTAGACATCTGCTCCATCAATAATGGAGGCTGCCATCCCCACGCAACGTGCTCCTCATCTCAAGGTAATGCTTTGCCTCTCTCTTTGGCTTTAGGTATTTTATTACAACATTTTAAAGCAAGTTAGGACTTCACAAATGAAATCTTCTGTCATCAAAATTCTTTGATCATCAAACAAAATATTAATTTGAGTTATAAAACTTTATACTTGGATTTTAAAAAATGCAGCAAGGTATGCTCTTTAGCAATCTGCTCTAATTTAGCAATTATTTTCCAAAGTAATTATGCCAGCCAAATAATTCTGGCCTATATTCCAAGTAAGAAGAAAAAAAGAAGAAAGGAGAAATGCCATATCCCTTTAAGGACTCTTCCATGTCTATGCCATTGGGTGGAATTGAACTACAAAGCCAAATAGAAAAGGCAAATGGAAAGGGAGACTCAGAAGTGTAGTCTGTGTTTCGGGAATTATGAATCCACCAAAATATGGAGTTAACTACTAAACAAGGAAAAGATGGATCTAGAGTAATCCAGTGTCTACAGCATTGCTTAGAAAAGGGATCACCTCCTATAATTTAGCTAAATATTTCTCTGAGAAATGTTGACTTATTGTATACAATAACCATTGATTTATGAAAATATATATTTACCTTGGATAATAGATACATTATTTTTCATCTGAGTCTATTTCATAGACAGAAATTAATTTCCCATCATTTTAATCTACCCTTTTAGATTACTAATATTTTTCATGTTTTTACTAGCTAGCTATTTTACTATTTCTTTATATCCTTTGCTCATTTGCTTTCTCACTGTTTTGTAAAATTTCATTATGTCTAAAGACATTATCACATTATCTGTTTTATGTTTTTCAAATGCCATTTTTCAAGGTATTTTGCTGTTCTCTTAATTGCATAGTGATTTTTTTAAAGTTTCAAATTTTATGTAGCTGAAAAATCTTGCTATTCCTGCCCTTAGAATCATATTTAGTGGTGCCTTTTCTACCAAGCTCTTTAAATGTAGTCAAGTGTATATTCTTTTATATTTTTTATTGCACATAATCTTTAATCTTTTTAGAATTTATTGCTTATTTTAGAAATCGAACAGAAAACTAGCTTGATAATTTTGTCTAAATGGGTGAAGTTAACTCCATTTATTCAGTAATTTATCATATTTCTTGACATTTCAAAGTACTACTTTTCTTTTTTTCCTAATTGTCATATAAATGCATATAATAGCCAAGAGTATCAATGTGTATGTAGGCATACACCTATGGTTACATAGCTTATAATATAATATGGCTAAATCTTTATTGAGTAATTAACAGTAATAAAATGAAGCATGATTTCTTGGGAGAAAATCTGTATTGCTGCCCCCTTAGCTCCACCACATTCAGATTTAGTGTCCTTGGTCAAGTCACCTAGGCTCTTTGTGCTCCAGTTTCTTTATCTGTGAAATGAATAATAGTAGCTATCTCAAAGGGTTCTTGAGAAGATTAAATGAACCCATGTATGTAAAGCATTACTTTGTGTAAACTTTAAAATATGAAAGTAATTTCTTTTTCATATAGAAGACATTATAAATGATGTGATGTAGCCCTTTATATATTCAAGTTAACCTTCTTTACAGTAACTTGTAAAACACTATAATGATATTTTTAAGTGCAGAAGAAAACTTGGGAGGTCCAAGCTGCTATTACGCTATATCTAGCTACTATTTCATGTGCATCATAACTAACAGTGACTATTAATGCACACATAGAATACCTTCAATCAATTCAAGTTCTTTTTTTCATAACCATTTAGACAGCTATTTTCTTACCTTTTAACATGGTGATAAAGGGTCAATAAAAAGTTTGGAGGAGGTTTTGGCACTGGCATTTGATTTGATGTTCCTACTTGCTTATGTCCCTGTGTTATCTTCAAACTACAATATCATTACAAGAATCTTTTAAAGTGTTGAGTTCATTTTGTGGTGGCTGGTCTGATTAAAACTGGTAACGTCCAAACTGTGTCCTCAGAATTGAGAACACGAGAATGGCCCTTTAATTCCACTCCTGTGTGATGTGCTATGGAAAAACACAGAGGCTCTCTTGGTACCTCCACATTCCAGCTGACTTTGATCAAAACAATCTATCTGTGCTGTCTTCCTTTGTAAAGGTGTAACTAAGTTTTAGAAAGGATTAATTTAGTCATACTCTCTGCAGTGCTTGCAACAGTTCCCATGGTCATTACAACCCTCTCATCTGCTGATAATCTCTCCATGATGACGAACTCTCATCCTCCTTCCCTTGGTGTACTTTTCATTTGTACGTAGCTCAGGACAACCTGACATGAGAGATGACAGTACTAGGGTCCATCTGTAGGTAAAGTATTGGACAAATTTAATGGCTTTCTTACTTTATTTTTTGGCCTTCTTACTTTAAAATATGGAAAAATAAAGATTGTAATATTTTCTCTTCATACATTTTCGTGTCTGCCTTAGGAACAACAGTGGTGAATTGTAATTCAGAGAAGAGACCAGAGCCTGAGTTTAGCTATTGTCTTTGAATTAAGGAGGATGCCTATATTTACACTTCCATTTTTATTTCTGAACAGGTTTCTTTCCTCTCTGTACCTGTCTGCCGGGATACACTGGAAATGGTTATGGGCCAAATGGATGTGTGCAACTTGGAAATATTTGTTTAAGTCGCCCCTGCTTAAATGGAAAATGCACAGTGAGTCCTTTGTTCTTTGGGATATGAGTATTTTATAATAATTTTTAGTTCTACTTTTCTATGAAAAATACATTTTATATGATTCATAAGTTTTAAGAGAACAATTCAAGTTTAAAATAAGACCCTGTGCATAACTATAAGATAAAAAGTTATGTGATCACTTTAGTTCCCAAGGAAAAAATCAATAAGCTAAGATTTTATTTCAAATAAATAAGACTACTTATACTGAGCAACTATCATTTAAAAATTAGAAGTTGGACTCCCGAAAAGTACTTAGTATGATTCAACTCTTGGATATCAGTTTACTTCTTGAGTTGCTTCCATTTATTGTCTATCCATTTGTTTCACTATGTTACACTTGTTTTTCTCCTTAGGACACAGTCTCTGGCTATTTTTGTGAGTGTGATTCAGGTTGGGCTGGTGTCAACTGTACAGAAAACATCAATGAATGTTTGAGCAACCCGTGTCTGAATGGGGGAACCTGTGTCGATGGAGTTAATGGTTTCAGCTGTGAATGCACTAGTTCATGGACTGGATCTTACTGTCAGGCTCCCCAGCAAGGTACTGCCAGCATTTCTTAGGCCACAGATACTACTTAGAAATATCACTCTTCACTGAACCCTTCTGCTGATTGCCCCACTGAACTTACTTTCTTTTATAGTTGTTCACTGTTGAAAGGGTACAGAATGCATAAAGCAGATATTTACAAATTTTCAATTTAAACCCGAAGAATTTTTCTTCAAAAGAATTAAATCAATATTTGCTATTTTCGTTATGCCCTTTCTAAATCTAAAATATGCTAGAGTGTTTTCTAAGGGGACATTGTTTTTTGTGTAGCGGCCAGTTTCTATAGAACACCACATGTAATCATGTTACTCTTATCCTGGAGTGCATGCTGGTTCATTATTGTCTGTTACATACAGATTAGAATTGTTTTTCAGTTACCTTTTATACCTAATCATTACTCTATCCACGTAAGGTGATTTTTCAGTAGTTCTCTAGAAATGCTCATTCAAGCCAGACATTTTTCTTTTGTTACCTGGCCCAATGTACCTTAAAGAGTATTTCTACTCTCTTATTTGAGATATTTTTTCCCACAACCTTCCCCAAATTCCTTTCCTGATTTCCTATCCAGATGTATGTATTACTCAGGAATTATTTGCATTCAACTTCATCCATAAAGTATCTTTATGACCCCTCATATATTGCTCCTGATTCTGAAGGAACACATTTCTTGAAATGTTACTGTGTTTAAAATAAACCTATAATAAATCATGTGGGCAGTATAGAAACATATGACCGAGTTTCCATTTATTATCTGTTTACCCGTAGTTGAGGAGACACAACTAACACAATGGCAAGTAGAATACAAGAACTAAAAAAACTGTTCAGCGTTAAGTTTCACTGAGTTGTAGAGAATTGAAGCCAAAAGAAGTAACCGACGAGGGATGAGATATTAACAAGACTTTGTGGGATTTGACTCACTCTCCTTAGAAAAGGGGACAGTCGAAAGGGCCTGGCAGGCTAGAGTTTCGTTTGCCTAGCTTCTTCCTTGTATGGAAGCATGTTTCATCATCTTTTCCTTTGCAGTGTGTGGAGAGTCCGTCTCAGGGATGAGTGGAAGCATCAGCTATCTGATCTCTGATGTTGTTTATCATCATAATATTAACTGCTTTTGGGTTATCCGAACTGAAGAGGGAAAGGTAAATGTACTAACTCCTGCCTAAACACACATTTTATTTGAATGTTTGAATATGCAATATCCATATTCTTGAATAAGAATATTTAGTGATCAATCAATTATCACAATTGCGAAGTGCCAGGCATCAGGTTTAAACATTTTGTCGAACTTTCTTTAACTGCTTACTAACTTTTAAATAAGTAGTAATATTTTCATTTTATAAATCAAATAATGAGAACTAAGAGAAATTATGTATAGTTTTTTAAAAGTACTTAGCATGTAATTGGAATAGTTAAATTTCAAAGTAAAGTTTGATTCCGAAGTCCATGCTTGGTCCGGTAATGAATAATTCTCTACACACTGATTGGACAGCTGTAAGCCACTTGTTAATTTGTAAGGTCACCTTGTTACCAAGATAGTATTGCTTAAAGATGGTCAGTCATCTGCATATTATATCAATTATTACACAATGGTGACTGATACTAGGCTTGCTTTCTTCTTACTTGTCCTGGTATGCCCCGTACTATGTTCCACGCTTCTTGTACATCATTGCATTTTTAGTCTTCATAAGTGTAAAGATAGGAATTGTATTCTCATTTTACATATGTGGAAACTGAGCCCTGTGCAGCTAAGAAATTTACCCAGGTGCATGTGGCAGGGAGTGGCTCATCCCAGGCTATCTGACTCCAAAGTTTGTAACTCTAAACTGCCACATAAATACACTTAAAATTTAATCCAAACCTAAGGACTTTAATTACTTAGATTTTCTAAGTATTTATTTTTCAACGAACTCTTGGACTCTACAATGCAGTGGTCTGTCTGAAGAGATAAGATTTTCCCTTGAAATTCTACTACCTTTTCCCAGAAAACTAGCATTACAACAAACATTGTGCAAGGGTCAGAAAATATTATTTTCCCTTGAGGAAGGAGGGCATTTTAGGGCCTGGTAATATACAATACAGTAAATTCAAAAGCATTTCTCAGTGGGTATGTTAGGTGAATTTCCTTCCTTCCTTCCATTTAGTTTTCATGAATTCTATTTCCTGACATTGAAAATACATTTTTAAAGAAAAAATTCTTATGTGAAAAAGTCTAAAAATGTTTATTACCAATTTATAAGAAAATTTATTCTATTTTTCTTGATTATATCATCTTTTCTGTACTATAATGCATGTAATATGATGGGAAACATATACAAATCAGGATATTTCAATTAATTAACATTATTTGACTTTTATTTAAATTGCTTCTAGAGAGAAAATTGTGTAATGATGGACAACAGATCTTAAAAATGCCCTAGCAGAATTTCAACAATATTCAGCAATTCTTTTTCAGTAACAGAATACCATTATGATTTTAGTTTCTAGTAAAAAGTAAATTGAATAATTTTGTTTTGGTTGCTTGTTTAAAATGAAGGTATCATCCAAAATCTTGTAAATTTTATTATTTTATTACTATATTTAAAAGCTGCACATCCTGACAGTTTACTCAGATACACATCTTCATGCTTATTCTCCTGCACTTGTGTTCTCAGAACCTTCATGCCGGTATTACCTTGTTCCCATTCCGTTGATATTGTTCACCCATAGCAATATGCAACCCACAAAGATTTGCAGAATGTACACATGTCTATGTTGTGCTTACTCTGCCTACACTTGAGTGTGACAGTCTGAATTAAGCAACTGAGCATCTCTAGGATTGGCATAACTGAGGGGTGATGGTGAATGTAATTTCAGATGATATACATTAGTGAATAGCAGTGTTAGCCCATTAAACTTAATTCATGGTAGATTTTTCAGATGACCAATTTCTACATACAGTTTCAGCTACACATCTGAAATGATTTTGAAAGATCTGATAGTTTCGTGAACTGTAGATAAATCTCCATGATTTTTTGATGTATAACGTTTGTACCTATGTATGAGGTACGGTATGATAATTTGATAACGTGCATTAATATGAAATGCCTAAATCAAGGTAGTTAGCAGTTCTAGTTCATCAAAGAATTTTAAATATATTTTGATATTAGTTGAAATTTGGTTTTAACAATTTTTAAATGTAGCTGGGATCACACCCAGGGTACTCTATTACCTATTTTGAGACAGTACCTCTATAAATTCCCCAGTTCCGTTCTCCCAGAGTGCTGGGATTAGAGAATGCACCATCATGCTTTCTGGTTTTAACTCTTAACATAAGTCTTATATACTATGGATAATTGTTGTTTGCACTAGTGAATGAATTATGATACACAGTAGATATATCTCTATGTAAATACTTTCTAGTTAGTAGGAGAAATACTTTACAATTAATATGGAAGTGAAAATAATATATTGTGGTTTTTATATTTTTAGGTCCTGCATATCACATTCACTTTCTTCCAATTAGAATTGGAGAACAATTGCCTGCATGAGTTTCTTGAGATTCATGATGGTGATTCCTCTGCAGACTTTACACTTGGAAAATTCTGTGGCTCCACAGCTCCACAGGGTCTTCAGAGCAGCGACAATGCGCTCTATTTTCATCTCTTCTCTGATCATTTGAGAAGAGGTAGAGGCTTCACAGTAAGATGGGAAACACACGAACCAGGTATGTCTAAACTCAGAGAAAAGCGAAGCAAAATTGATCAATATTAGATTGGTGAAAATAGGACAAGTTTTGAGATCCATACATAGATGAGATTTTTATAATTATTTGAAAGCCAAATGAATCGACAATGAGTTAGATTTTACTTTGTATCCAATGATAACATAATTAGGATAGACTGGAAGGGATTAGAATATAGTAATCTTACTGAATCCCTTATGGAATTAGTGAACAGTACTTTTATAAGCTCTGTTTGTTAGTTCACTGCTAAGATGTCATGAGAGTATTATCCACTCATTTATATACTGTTCCATATCTTAGTGATGACTTGAAAATTTTTTTCTGTTGTTGTTGTTTTGGTTTTGATATTCTATCTTTTAAACTTCCAACTATGAAATTTTTAAATGTATAAAATAAGAGAGAACAGTATGCTGGCTCCCAATTCATTATTCATTTAGTTTTATTTTGGCTTTGTGGGCCAGGAATTTGGAAAGGGATCCATATGACTGTTCCTACTTGACATACGTTAATTGCTTATGTCAGATGTGAAGTGAGACTGTAAACAACAAAAAGCTCAAATGGGCTGGACAAAACAAATTCCCTCACTCCTATAGCTAACAGTTAGTTAACAGTCTTGAGGATTGAACCCATACCTCCTGGATGGTAGGTAGCCACTCTACCGTCGAGCCATACATCCTGCCCTCGTACCTGCTTTAGATGAGAGTTCATCAATCTGTGAATCTGAGCTTGTAAATATTCCTTTTCTAACCAGGTGGTGTTGGAGTAGTGGATATTTCTTTTGTGATGATTGACTTCTTTCACAGTAAGCAGTATGACAAAGCTAGATGGATGTCAATGGGTTTTTTATCTACCTTGAAAAATCACATTGTGTTACTTTTTTCATACTTAATTGATTGAATTAGTCACAAGTCAACCTAAATTCAAGGAGAGGGACACAAAACCACACCTGTCAATAGAAAAAGTATCAGAATCTCTAAACATCTTTTCTAAACATTTTAAAACCACTACTACTTTTATCCTTATATTGCCAAGAATTTTTAAAAAGCATAAGTAGGTATTGAATTTTATATAATAGTCTTTCTGAGTCTTTTAAATAACCATTTGATCATGTTGACATATATTCTGTAATTGTGAATTATATTTATTATAAATGAGTTTCTTTGGTATTGCCATTTTACTTTATTTTTTATAAGTATATGTTTTTGATACATCTTGATCAAATTTGATTCCTTTTTACCTCATTTCCTGTTATCCCAGTAATGTTATCCCATTTCCTTTTCCAAGATCCTTTCTTCATCTCTAGAAAGTCTACTTTTCTGTCTTCTACCATACTCTTTATTTTCATTTTTATTTGGTTTGATTTTTCATGTAAGATAAATCATTTGATATTTAATCCTGTTTGATTAATTTACATAATACTGTGTTCTCAAAATCTATCCATTTGTCTGCAGATAACTCAGAAAGATTTTTTTTATTTAGAGAAAAAAGCAAAACACAAAAAAAGGGTAGAAATAATACGGAATTTCAAAAAAAAGTAGGAAATCACTAGTTGATAAATTACGTGTTGTTATCTTAGAAGTGGTTGTTCAAGTTACAAAATCAAAGCATAAAAAGTGGACATGGTTGAGTGATACTCCCTTGTCTATAACACATTTTCTTTATTCATTCATCTTTTGGTGGGCATGTGGGCTGCTTTCATGACCTATCTATTGTGAGTGGTGCTGTGCATGCCTGTATCACTGATGACTTTGACTCTTGAGAACATACCCAGGAGAAGTACAGCGGGGTTAAGTGGAATTTCTATTTTTAGTTTTTTGAGTAATCTCTATACTGATTTTTAATGTTTGTACATCCTACCAACAGTGTAGAAGGATTCTTCCCCCCGCCATCCTTGCCAGCATTTTGAGTTTGAGTTCTTCATGACAGCTTGTCTTACTGGAATAAGAATCTTTTTATTGTTTATATTTGCATTTCACTAATGGCCAAAGATGTTGGATGTTTTTCCATGTATTTATTAGCTGTTAATACTTTTGGGATGTGTTTTTTTTTAATTGTTCATTTTTTGATTGGGTCCTTTATTTTGGGGGGCCTAATTGTTTTGAAAGATTTGTATATTCTAGATATTGGTCTTGTGTCAGGAATGGCTGGAAGAATTTTGCCATTCTGTAGGTTGTCTCTTCACTTTCTTGCTTCCTTTGCTATATAGAAGTTTTTCAATTTGATATGATCTTATCTGTTGTGGAACTGGGGTTCTTTTATCAAAATTTTACCTGTGCTTGTGTCTTCAATAGTTTTCATATCTTTCAGTGGATTGTTTACCCATTTTTATACTTATGTTTTGATCCATTTTAATTTTATTTTAGTGCAAAGTTAGTAATTATCAGTCTAGATTCATTTTTTTTGCACCAAATAACAAGTTTTCCAACACCGATTGTTAGAGGGCATTTTTGTCTCCAGAATTTGTTTTTGGTCCCTTTGTCAAAGATCAGCTGGCTATGGGGTATGGGGGTATTTCTGTATCTTCTATTCCATTGTTCTACATATCTGTTTTGTCCCAGTGTCATAGTGTTTTTTAATTTTTAAAAAAATGTTTTGTGCTGTTTTTATTACTGTAATGTTTTTAGTATAACTTGAAATCTGGGGTTGCAATGATTCTCACTTTGTTCTTTTTACTTAGGATTTCTTTAGTTATTATGGATTTCTTCTGCTCCATATACATTTTGTTATGTTTTTTTAACTCTGTGAAGAGTGCTATTGGCGTTTGACTGAAAATGCTGTCTATCTATCTATCTATCTATCTATCTATCTATCTATCTATCTTTTTTGTAATAAGGCCTGATGGAAGTACTAATTCTGCCAGTCCAGGAATAGGAGATGTCTTTTCATTTTTCTGATGTTCTCTCCAGTCTCCTTCATCAGAGTACTGTATCTTTCATTGTAGAGGTTTCATTTTGGAAGTATTTCACTCCCTTGGTTAAGTTAATTCCTAGATATTTAATTATTTTTGAAGTCACAGAGAGTGGAATTGTTTTCCTGATTTCTTTCTTGAGATGTTCATTGTTGATGTACAAAAATGCTATTGATTTTTGTGTGGTGAGTTTGTATCCTACTGTTTTGCTGAACTTATTTATTAGCTCTAAGAATCTTGTGTTGGAATTTTTGTGGGTCTTCTATGTAATGGATCATATCATTTACAAAAAAATAGTTTGATACTTCCTTTCCTATGTATGTCATTTTTATTTCTTTCTCTTTCCTGGTTGCTCTGTATAAATGAGTATTCCATTGAACAGGAGTGTTGAAAATAGACCTTGTAGTGTTATTCCTAATTTCAGAGGAAATATTCTTTATTTTTTTCCCATTCAGTCTGATGTTGATTGTGGGTTTTTTTTTATTTATTTAAGGAGAGAAGGGGGAAAAAAAGCAGAAAAGCGGTACAAGTTATACAGAATTTCAGAAAAAAAAAACAGTAGGAAATCACTAGTTAATGGATTACATATTGTCATCTTAGAAATATTTGTTCAAGTTACAAGATTTAAGCATATAAAGTGGACATTCAAACAGTGAGACTGCAAACAGTTCTGTTCAATGAGCCAACAAAACTCAGTAATATCATTGTCTATCTTATACACTTAAATTTACACGCAGTTATACCATTTAGAACACTTTCTTTTCCTCTCTTTTGTACAATGACTATTACACATTGGTTTTATTGCTCCCACAGTTCTTATTACTTTTTTTGGAAGAGAGTAAAACCAAATGTGACTTAACAGAACAGAGTCGGTTAAATCAAAAGGGTGGACAGAATAGATAATGTAAAAACATAATACAAGGTGATCAACAATGGTTACCATAATGCCTCCCACTATCTCAAATAGAATTGCCTATATCATCAGGCATAGGCAATTGCCTATGCATAGGCATATTGCCCGTTACAATAAAATTGAACAAAATAGTAAAGAACAAAACCAACAAAACCAAAACATTGGAGACATTACAGGTCTTCAAAAGTAGATAATAGTCAACCAGTATGGGCATCATAATGAATCCCACTATCTTCACAGCTGTTGCCTAACTTTCGAACCTGGTACTATCAAGCAAAGCAGAATAGAGGAACATCAGTCAAAACAAGATGGTGAGAGCAATACAGGGCTTCAAATCAAGTTAATAGGATATCAAAGTGGGTTACTATAATATATCCTGCTTTTTTTAAAATTTATTTTTCCTTTAATTAAAAGGATAAAAATAAAAAAGTAAATAATAAAATAGATACAGAGATAAAATAGGGCATAACAACTAAACAGTGCAGATCAAAACATAACTATTTAAGCAAATTAGTGTTTCAGGTTGTGGGTTTTTCTTAAGTGACTTTTATCGGCTTGAGATAGCATCTTTCTATACCTATTTTTATAAGTTTTCTTTTAACCATGAATTGAATGTTGGATTTTATCAAAGACTTTTTCTGCATCTTTGAGATGATCATGTGATTTTTTTAAATCCCTACTTCTAATTATGTGGCATATTACATTGATTGATTTAGGTATATAGGACCATAGTCATTTGATCGTGATATATGATCCGTTTAATGATTTGTTGTGTTCTACTTGAAAGTATCTTTCTGAGGATTTTTGCATCTATAGTCATTAAGGATATTAACCTATAGTCGTCTTCTTCTTCTTCTTCTTCTTCTTCTTCTTCTTCTTCTTCCTCTTCTTCTCTTCTTTTCTTCTTCTTCTCTTTCTTCTTCTTCTGTTGAGCCCTTGTCTGGTTTTGTTATCACACTTATGCTGACTTTAGGGAATGAGTTTGGCAGCATTCTTTCCCTTCCAATGTCATGGAAGAATTTGAAAACTGAATTCTTCTTTGAAGTTCTGATAAAGTACAGCTGGTTAATCAGTTGGGCCCTGGGCTATAGTTGTCATCTTTTACTGCTTCCTGAATTTTATTGCCTGTTATTGGTCTATTCAAGTAGGGGTTTTTTTTTT